GGATTGTGGTGGCGGTGATTGCGGTGGTTTGTAATTAGTTAGCAAGGTTGGATTGTAAATTATTGTTGTTTGAAAAGTTACATGATAATGTTAATTGTTTGCTTGCTATACGGTATAATGTGTGTTGCTTGATTATTAATATTGTAAAATTAAAAATTTATGTTGGTGTAATTAAATTAATGTAGATGTGTGTGTGCAATTATTGTGTATAGCTAAACTAGTAGTTTATTGTAAATAGGTAGTTACAGTATTAAATAAATAAGTAATTATTTATTATTTTGTATTAATTTATTGGTGGAAAAGAATTTTAATTTGTTAGTTATATTTAAAATGTTACTTGTTATTAAATTTTTATTGTTACTTCATAAATAAAAAATTTTAAAAACAAAATATATTATAAAAATAATTTACAAAAACTACTAGTAAACTAATCCTGGTCAGCACCATCAAATAAATCTTTAAGTCCTGAATCTAAACTCCAATTATCAGGCAAATCATTGACTACGTCCACTACATCATCCTTAGGACCAGGATCATCATTCAGAAACATATTTTCCTCGACATCCTTATCATTATTTGGGTCAACCTTTTGTTTGTCGTCATTATTATGAGGCAACAAATGCTCGGAAAACAGACTATTCACGCAAAATGACCACAAAGTGATTATTAGCCCACAAAATATGCCAGCACCTATTAGGTTGTTCAAAATTAACTAGTTAGTTAGAATTAGGATTGATTTTAATTATAAACTGTAAATTACAATCAAAATTATTAAAAAATAAAAATTTAATTTGATAATATTAAATATAGGATGCAGTCAACCCTGGGTAACAAATTTTATAATTATTTTAATAGACAAAATATATAACGCTAGTACCTATAATCAAAATTACCATGGTCTCCGGGGTAAACCATGAGAAAACGGTTTCGTGAGTTGCATTATTATGATCATCATTATTTATATTTGTACTATTATGGCTACTAAATAATTTTGTTTTATTATCAATGTCACATTTTAATTTTGAAATATTACTAAAAATTATAATTACTAAAACAATAAATATTTTATTTACACTTAAATACATGACAATAATTATATAAATATAAATAATTATGGCAGTAAACTACAAAATATGAAAACAATTAAAACTTGTTTTTCATTCAATAGTAAAGTTAAACAAACTTCAAGTCTCTGTATAAATGATAAGATAGATGTGGTCATATAGTTATGTAATGTATTACTCGTTGGATTATAATGAGATCAATTCAGACATTTATTTATTGTTTGAAATATATGGTATAAGCAATGTTATTTTCATAAATAAATTTATTATTTTATGTAAAATATAACATGAATCAAATTATAAGTAATAAAGTAAACAAATAAATTAGCTAAAGGTTCTAGTTAATTAATTACTGTTTCTTTATAAAAATGTAAATAAAAACTGTAAATTGTATTTAACTTAATGACAAATGTCATTTATGTATATAAATTGTATTATTTATGGAATCAACTCGGTTATTTAGTTTTTATTTTTTAAAATTTTCAACATACAAAATACATAAAAAATAAAATATTAAATAAAATCTCAACTCAACAATATTTAACTAGCACAATCTCGACTGTATACCACACCCAACAAACACTTACCCGGGCAGGCATGTCGTTGATAGGCATATATCTAATCAATGTATCAAAATATTTCATCCCTTTTAATAATAAGATAATAACAAATCCACTCAAATAACAAATATAATAATTTCTATTAAATATGACAATAAATGTATGGGAAAATACAGTACCACTATTTGCTAGCACACATTGTACTGTATTCACAAAAATCCCTTTTATATTAAATCGTTTATCATTATAACCACATTCGTGACAATTTACCCTACTCATAAATTACTAAAACATTTACGTTGCTAGCTATTATATTAATGCACCATAAAGTACAGCTATTTTACGTTTATAGTATAATAATAAATATAATATCGGTACTAGCATTAAAATATAATTTTTAAATAAATAGCATGCATATTATTTTTAGCACTATGGATTTTTGGTAACTCACTATTAATATCGGGAGTAGACTGTATTCACATAGAAATAATGATAAAATGCCAGCAAAAATCTCTTATCATAACATGAAATAAAATAAAAATATTAAATACTTTTATTATTAATACTTTTTTCTCCTAATATTTAAACACAGAAATCGCGATAAAAACCTAAAATACACAACACTTTTGGCTGTCGTCTGTACACTTCAAAGACAGTCACATAAAACACTAGTGTTTTGAACAGTATTTCTACATTTATATTGAAAACCCATTTATTTAATTGAAATATGAGTTAACAGTATATTATATATAATATTTGAAACACCTTTGCGATTGTGTGCCGTATATATAATTTTATTATCTATTATTTTTAGACAGTTATGTGTTATATAACACATATCTAATGTTAATATTGTTTTTTAATTGCAAGGTTTTTAGTTACAAATATATTTTGTTTATTATATTTTAATTTTTAAATTGTTTGTGTGTAATAACATTTAAATAAATAGTTTGGCTATAAGCAAGGTGTTTGGATTTATAGCCTGGTGTGATTAGTTTTTTTTGGAGCAAGTAAGTTTACTTTTATTTATTAAATATTTATTCAGGGATTACAAACTGGTACACGTTTACAGTATTTTATTATAAATGATTGGCATGTTTGTGTAATTTACAGTATATAAAATTAATGTTGCACATTTTATTTTATTTTGTGAAATTGCAAACAAACAAGTTTCTATTATTTATATTAATTTAATTTTTAATTTATAAAATGATATTTTATTTTAATATATTATCATTTTGCAAAATTATTTAAATCTTTATGCTTATATTTAGTTTCATATGCATAAATTATGCAGAATAATATGTGTCATAAATAATTATTTAATTTTTATGATATTAAATTAATAGTATGTAAATAAATAAATTATATAAAATGAACTTGAACCAATTTACACAAATTATTATTTCACGTTTGCAACACATGAACTAGTACTGTGTATTGCTATGGGCATAAATAGCTATGTGTGCAAAAATGTCAAAAAATAACATTTAACAGAAATAAGATAAAAGTTTAATATTTAATTATAAATAATATACAGTAATGTAAAAAATAAAACTTTCCCTTATATAAAATACAGTATAATACAAATAAACAATAAAATTGTACTGTATAATATTATGCTAAAAGTATTATTATGGTTGAGGTTAATGATTATTGTTATAAATAATTATTTTAATTAATAGATTTTCTAAACTATAACAATATTAATCGGACTATTAAAATAACCTAATACCCTATATAACATAAACTGTTGGTTTAATACAAAACTAATATTTAATTTCAAATTAAATTGTCCACGACAATGAAATTAAACCTAAATTTAAACTATACTAGTAATCAACAAAATATAGTAGTTTTTAAATCATTTTTACAAATTTTTACTAAAACTGTAATATATACGTATCATAAATTATAATATGATCTAAAATGTGCTTGAAAAAAAATATTGACCACTATGGTCTCTCAATTAAATAAATTTTTATAAATAATTACGGTTATTAAATTCAAATCAATATTTTTGAAGGTATTAACTAATTAATAATTATTGTTAATTAAAATATATTAATATTAATAGTTTTTTAAACGTGTAATAATGGCCGTGTGGGCAAGTATTTTTGATTATAAAAATTTAAAAATCTAAATTTTTCTAGCTGAAATTTATTTGAAAAATTAACATTAAATTTTACTTAACTCTAGTGTTCCATAAAATTATTTTTGCAATATTATTCTAAAACTGTAATTTTTTCGTAACATTAATACCTATATTATCTAAAATGTGCATGAACATAATTATGGCTCGTCCCCGTCTTACCATTAACTAAAATTTTTATAAAAGTTATTAATACATATAAATATGTTTTATAGGTATGGGCGCTTGTGCAGGCAAACACCAACACCTCAAGCGTGAGGCGCACGACAAGTACCTCCCGGTGCCCATCAAAAACCACAACAACAATAGCACCAACGACTTGATCGTCAAGTTTCGCGAATCGCAAAACTTGGACAACAAAAACATTCCCAGAATATACCGCTTATCATACCTGAGCCGAGACTTTGATCCCCGATCCTTTGACTTTAGTGATGAACTATGCGTTCACATCCTAAGCTACCTATCCCTCGAGGACCGCCTGCGCCTGGAGTCTGTATGCCAACAGTGGCAGCGATTAATCTACCGGAGCGTACGTACCCTTGACTACCCCCTCCCGAGTAGGCTATACTCGCATTTAGATGGGAATTACATGTCAGACAAGCACTGGCTATACGTGTCGAGACAGGTGCTCCGAAAGTGTCACTTTTTGACCAAGGTTAGGTTGTTGGATACGTGCGATACGGATGTGCTTGCTGTTTTGGCTAAGAATTGTCACTGGTTAGAGTCAATTGAGTGGAGGTTCCATAATTTGTTACCTGTGCGCCGGGAGGTGTTGAGTAAACTATGCGACAATTGTGGTAATAGTTTAACTTGCATCAGGGTAAAGGAACTGGATGAACAAGCGTTTAATTCAGGTTTGTGTTGCTTGGTATTTTTATATACTTTTTATTTATATTATAAAATATATTCTATTGTCAAGCTACTTTTAAAACACAAATTTTGATCATTAATTTCATAAAAAACTAATTTTACTTAGTTAATACACATTTATATTACTTATCAAATTAAAAATATATAATTGGTTTTAATTCAATTTTATATTTTTAAATTTAATTTATTATATAATGGGACACTTATATACCTGGCCTTAAGTGAGACAGGTGGTTATATATTGAATTATTATTAAACATTAAATTTGTATTTATTATTTTGAAACTTTAACTTTATTATAAGTAAATCAAGCAATAATTTACTAATTATAATTTAAATAGCATATAAATAGCTTTTTCAGCCCATATTTCTATAGGAAAAATAATACAGTGTAGGGGCAACAATGTAACCCCTATTTACCCAATAAATTACCTTTTAATTTTAATTACCGTATTAAACACGTAATTACTTTAAAATTTTAAATCTCTAGCTATACTAATTATAAGTTATAATATTAAATAACTATTAATACAAAAACAATTAAATATTTATTATTTTCATACCCAGAGTCGGGGCTATCGGTGCTCATCGTCTACAGTGAATACCTGCTAAACATCCGCACCGTTAGTGTTGCCATCGATTCCGACAAATGTCTCAAATATTTTCAACTCTTCGCCGACATCTATAACCAAAGGATAACATCACTGGAAATACGGCTCAAATTCAGCACATTTTACACACAACTGGAGGACACCTTTGCATCCATAGCCCAGTTCCTAAACCTCCAGTCCCTCACCATAACCTTGGAGTCGGAGTACCCCTTGGACGTTGAGCTCAGCGCCGGTGCCTCACTATTAGCTCATTGTTGTCAAAACCTAACGGCGCTGACCCTTGAACTCCGGGATCACATACGATGCACATCCGGGTCGGTACTGGAAAGCCTACAGCCGTTTCGATCCCTAACCTCCCTGTCCGTTCGGATCCGCTCCCCAGACATTGAATTGGGTTCACTTGAATGGCTGACCGCTATGTCCGGGTTGACTGACCTACAGGTGCTGTACAGCGGGTTAGACGACGAGATGTTCCTAAATATCGACAAATACTGTCCACTCGTACGGCGTTTAGTACTGAAAACACGGGAACGCCTATCAAACGAAACCCTATACTCTGTGTCCCTATTGAAGTCATTACGCGATTTACGAGTATACTGTCCACCCTATGCCATACAGGGTATCACTGATACCGGGGTCTGTCACCTACTGAACCACTGCCAGAATATACGGAATATTCTATTGGAATGCGGCGTAAAGTTAACGGAAATATCGTTTCTAACGCTAAACGCGTGGGCAAACAGCCGGCCCTCCCGTTCCCATCGGTTCAGCTTCTGTTGGCAACGACCCCCAGAAATGGCCGATACGTATGATCCAAGGGCTAGACTGCCAGCCCATGAGCTATGGCCAGACCTACTGTGTCTGCCCGAGAATCTGACGATCGTTTGTCGCGAATATTTTGCCGGCAATAGTGAGGCTATTGTTCGGAACGGTATCCAACGGTATGGCCGACAGTTCACGTGGACTGACCCCGGAGTGGGTGCGGGAGATAAGAGGGTAGCGAATAGGGAGAGCGCGCAGAGCGGTCAACACCCGCCCCAAACACCGCCCGTGTATTACAGATTCGGCGCGTTTCCCGATGTCGTGCCACACGTCGCGTGAAAATTAACTTTTTATAAAGTTTTTGATGAAAGTTTGCATTTATTTTATTTTTCATGTCATGTAATATGTTTGAGTATAAACTAATCTAACATAGTTTGTTTTAGTTATGTTTTTAAAAATGTGTGGGATGCTTATTATTAGTAATGTATATGAATAAAATGATTTATTTACATTGGAAAACATATTTAGATTTGTTTACTTATTTAAATGTAAATTAATTAAATAAATAGAAACTGTAATATTTTCCTAAAATTAATACAGCTATTATCTAAAATATGCATGAATATAAAAATGGTTTAGGGCCTATAAATTGTAATTGCTTTTAATATTAATAGTTTTTCTAAACTAAATTAATTATTTCATTATGAAACATAAACAATTGTTTCGTCAATCCATAGATCCAGTACATTTTAAGTACATTTTAATTTCAACTTTAAATTGTCTAATATAATTCCTGGCCGCGACATATAAATTATAATACAATTTGTCTTTTCAATAATTTCTAATACTTTACCCTATTTATCTGATATTAAAAATAATTTATTGAAAACACATATCAAATGTCTAATATAATATTTTTTAAAACTTTTATACTAATCTAGTGATTAATAAAATAATTTTTACAAATATTTTCTAAAACTGTAAAGCTAGTGGGAAAATGTGTAGGCAGAGATGGAAATAAGAAAGTTTTACAGGGCGGCCAAAATATGGCAATGCTACTTTGATTTCAATTTATTTAAATACCTTCTTGTTTACTTTATCCATTTATTCACTAAATTGTAGCTGGATAGTTAGGGTTTTGTTTGGTATATGATTTGTCCAGATCGGTATTAACCAAAATTTTATACAAGGAATATAATTTTAAACATGCAAAATTTTTCCTACTTTTTATGCAATTCATACTTATATGTTTACAAGTTTAAATTTATTACAAACTGTAATTCAATATTTTCAATAAAATTATTTGATTTTAAATTAATATTCATTTATAGAGAATAAAATAATTTTTATAAAATTACAGTTTCGTAAATATTATTAAAATATTTGAATCAATAATCTATAACCAATTAAACGCATTTGTAGTAAAATATAATATATTACCTGATATTCAGTACGGGTTTAGACCCGGATATAGCACTAATCGTCAGTTAATTGATTTAATGTATGAGTTTTCACTTGCATTTAATGATCCAAAGCTTATTTGTGTTGATATTGTTTTTGGACTATTCTTCAGCTTTCGATAAAGTGAACCATTCATTGCTTTTCAATGAATTATATAACATAGGAATTAGGGATAAAGCGTTGGATTTGATAAAACAATTATATCTTAATAAAAAACAAGTTGTAAAATGTGGCAATTATTTTTCTGATCCAATTAACTGCACCTCTGGAGTGAGCCAGGGTAGTATTTTGAGCCCAGTATTATATAACATATATGTCAGAAGTGTTGTTAACTTTATTAAATACTCTCACATTAAACAATATGCTGACGACATTGTGGTATATAAATTAATTTACAATAATAGGGATATTGAATATTTTCAGATTGACTTAAATAGTATCAATGATTTTAGTAAATCATATAAACTTACACTAAATCCCACAAAATCAACTCATATGAGAATTACATTAAAACACACAATAGATCCACACACCTATACAATAGATAACCAAATCATACCATTAGTTAGACAACACAAACACTTAGGGGTTATTTTAGATAACAAATTATGTTTTAAAGAAAATACAAAAACTATTTATAAGAATGCAATCCGAAAGTGGACCACAATTACCAGAATATGTAGTTATGCTAAAAAAGATACACTTTTAATGTTATATAAGTCCTATATATTGTCAACAACTGAATACTGTTATGATGTATTTAATCCCAATTTATCTCAAATTAGAAAATTAGAGTCCATTCAGAGATATATTACTCGTTATATTTGTATGAAATGCGGCAAAAGTGGTCTCAATTATACTGAAAGACTTGATTTTCTTAAACTTAAACCACTGTTAGTGAGAAAACAATTGAAAATATTGTCAAATGTTTTTAAAATTATACATAATTTCGATGGAATTCCTGATAATTGGAAACACATACTTGTAGTAAACAAGTCTAGAAATGGTTTATTGATTAATGATTTGAATAATCGTATATATTTTTGTGATAACAATATGTTTAATTTAGGGATAAAGCTGTTTAATTCATTGCCAAAAAATATACGGAATGAAAGTAGATATTGCAAATTTTGTAAATTATGTAATACTCATGTAATCAAAGAATTTGTTCAAAATATTGATACGTATTTATGAAAATTGTTTTTATTGTAATCATTTATATTATGATTTTCCATTGTATTTATTCAACTCGTTATGAATAAAATATCATTCATTTCATTTCATATAAAAAATTATCTTAGTATATTTTTCTTAAAATATCGAGTTACTCTATTTTGAGACTGACCGTATGTTGCCAATTTTTTGGTTTTATGGCAAAATTATATCTGTAAATAATTTGTTTTTATATTTAATTAAATAAATAGAAAATATGTTTCGTATTTGAGATGTGGTTTTAATAACTTATTTTTAATGACAGTATCAGAGAAATGGGCGGAAAGTATAGAAAGTATTAGAAATTACTTAACAGAGAATTTGGTTTTAAAAGGGTGGGCTGGGGTTGTGAACACGTGATCAGTAATTGAACGTCATTACAATAGTCTTGAATTATAAATGTCTATTTGATTCATAGTTATACAGTATGTTCCCAAGTTGAGATTTATTACTAACTATAATTTAATATTTTAATAAAATCATTTCGGTTTGAATTAATATTCATTTATAGCGAATAAAATTATTTTAAGCATTGATATGTACGTATCGAGGGAGGTGCTTTCAGAAATGTCACTTTTAACCAAGGACAGGTTATTTTGTGATACAAATGTGCTTGCTGTTTTAACTAAAAATTGTCACTGATTAGAGTCGATTATAAGTGGATGCTTTATAAATTGCTATCCGTGCGCCGGGAGGTATTGAGTGAACTATGCGACTGGCTGTATGTGTTGAGGCAGCTTTTCCGGAGTGTCATTTTGTGACCAAGGTCAGCTTATTAGATACTTGCGATACCGATGTGCTTTCAAAATTGTCACTGGTTATAATGGTTTGAATTGAGGTATAATAATATGTTATAGGAGCGCCAGGTTGTGTTAAGTATGCGATAATTGTTTGACTTATATCAGGGTAAAGGAGCTGGATGAACAAGCGTTTAGTTCAAGTCTGTGTTACTTGGTAAGTTTTATAATTAGTTTACTTGTTATACTTTTTATTTAAGTTATTAAATAATGTTTATTATGAAGCTTGTTTTAAAATATTAATTTTGATGTTTAATTTCGTTGCAAACTGTAATTTTGATTAATTATTACAAATTTATATTACATATTAAATAAAAATAATATAATTGGGCCTTTTTTGTAAATTATATTTTAAAGTTTTATTATTATTATAATGATAATAACGTAACTTAAAAATTTATATAAAATAAATAACAAAGCAATAAAATTTACTTGAAATTAACATTATTACTATTTACATAGTTTACTTATTTCTCCTTTTATGACCACCTATTATTTTTAATATGAAAATTATACTGGATGGTTTATTTTAATTTTTGCATTTCATAAATATTTATTTATTGTAAAACTGTAATTTCAAATAAAATAAATTAAGTCATTATTATAAAGAGAGTAAAAAGGTACAATTTTCATTGCGTTTTGCTATATAAAATTTTTATAAGTTTACAAAAATTTGTATTAAATTATAACATAATTAAACAAATTTTGTTAATAAATACTGTAATTATTATTTAAATTATGAGTATTATATACGATGTACATACACAATATGTTTTTGGCCCACAAAAGCGTTAGCATTTCAATTTTTAATATAAATGTAAATTATTTAAAATTAGGTGTGACTAAAAACCAACATTTTAAAACACAAACAAATTTAAAACAAACTATTAATAAACCAACAATGTTTGTTTTTAAATCATAACATTATAAAGTAATAAACCCAACTTGAATCCGATTTACCATCATACAGTTGTACTATATTGTTAATCAAATAAAATATGTACGTCAAATGAGCGTAGGTCAAATGATAGACAACCATAAAATATATATGAAAATTATATATTTTTAAAAAATCATTTAAAAATTTTTATATTTTAATATTAATTCCTTTATATTTGCTGCTCAAATGTTTGCGGCTTAATCAAACAATGTTTTGATTAAATATTCGTATTATTAAATAATCAAGATTTTTTAGAAAACTATAAAAATTACATGTTCTATTATATTGTGGCACTGCCTTAAAAACCAACTTGGCCTCCTATGGCCTCTTGGCCTCCCCAAAGCGAGAGAGCTGGTTATATATTTAAATAAGATTAAATATTATTTTTTTATTACTTTTTACAAAGTTTTTAATGTGGCTTATAGTTAAATCAGTTAATAATTTAATAATTATAATTGTAATTAAATATAAATAGCTCTCTTCCCATTTCAGGGCCAC